AGTCTCAACCAAGTTCAGGGTTGTGGGGCATAGCAGGGTCTGAAAGAGGCACTTCTGCAACCTGGGAATGCACTGTTCCACTTGAGGTCCCCCTGCAGAACCAGAATCATGTTCAAAGACTGGCAGAGTGCAAAAAGCACTGAATAATGGATGTGGTAATGGACAGCTTAGCAGACACCTTCCTCTGCACTCAGGACTGCACATTCCTGACAGCCCCAGAGAGGCCAGGATGTTTGTCTAAAGAACATGAGCAGCATTATCAGCTGGCAGAAAGGAAGACTGCCTTCATGTTCCTTGTTTCCTTGAGGAGACTGATGATAAATTCATCTGTTCTAAGAGCTGCTAAGTAGAGGCAGTGGAAACTCAGGAGCCCAAGGACCTCGGTGATATGCCCAGAAGGCACTTGGCCTACAACATCCTGTTCATCCTTCAAGGCTCTGCCCAAGTGAAACCTCCTTCCTGTCTCTCTAGCCGGCTAACACTCCCTATCAGTCAGCATCTGTGCTATCGGGAGTTCAGAGACCCAGGCATAAACAAACAAACAAACAAACAAACATAAACAAGCCTGTGTGCAAATCTACCAGCTGCCTTGACTAGGCGGAGAGGAAATGTGCATTTGCGGGAGTGAGTGGGAATAACCCTTCTTCTGGTTCTGAGTCCTAGGAAAGGGTGGAGGGGAGCATAGCATGACCCTAAGAGCAAATCTGCTAGAAAAAGGGAGCATGATAGGTTTGGATCAAAACAAGCCAACAAAAGCATCCAAGCATATTACCTGTGAAAGGGGAACAAGGAAAGTGCAGGTACAGTTCAGCACCCCACGGTTATGGGGTCTGGTGGGGTAAACTAGAGCATGGATGCAGGAAGCTGGGGGAGGAGAGTGAAGAGAGGGAATCGGCTTTCTCTCTGGACCTGCAGCCCAGCTCATCAAGACAAAACTGCGGTCCTATAACTTGAAGCATTGAGGTAGGTATGACCCACAAGAAATGCAACGAACTCTTAACTTCAGAGCCAGACTCTATCATGCAATACACCTGACGTCACACCTTGGTGAGGGGATCTCTGACCATGGAAGGTGACAATGAGCCAGGGACTAAGCTCTATGACAGACATTTTGGAGCTGCAGTCAAACATCCCACTGGCTCCATACCCACAAAAATTTCCATGCGCACACCTGTGGGTTTTTTGGTTCTGTTTTGTTTTTTCATGGGGAAAGGGTCTACCATCAAAAGCTCAAAGAGATCCCAACTCCCCAGAGGAGTAACTTTAGAGACAGTGTTGAATAAAAGTGATTCCTGTCCTCAAGGAGCTCATAGAAAAGTAAGAGAAGCAAATAGAATAGAATAGCTCACACTGTTTAATCCCTACTCTGCACCAAGCCCTGTACTGATTCACATCCTTCAGCTCATTTAGTCCTTAACACAAACATTCTAAGGCAGGTACTGTTACTAACCCCAAACCCAAGGCCCTTAAGAAAATCAAAGTCAATGGCTCATGTGGATTCATTAAGAAAAAGTAACGCATTGCGATCATGGTCATGGCAAAGAGGAACAGAGAGGTCTCCCAGTGTGGGGTGGGCGGTGGTTTATTACTTTGGGGCAAAGAAGGCTTCCCGGAGGAGGTGTGCAATTACCTAGCACACTCGCAATCCCCTGCTTTGCTGGCACATTACTTGTAAGGGCAACACTCTGAAATGTTCTCATTTAATCTAATCCATGTCCCCTGTTAAGGGTTTTACATAAAGCCTTCAAACAAAGCTACAAGGCAGGCACTACTTTCTCTTTACAGATGATGACACGGAGGTTTAGAGATGTAAAACGATACTCAAAGACCCTTGGTACGTGGCCCGGATGAGAGCATACCCAGGTCTGATGCTGAAGATCAGGCCATTTCCTCTGGGGCTGATTTGTGGTTTGCCCCAGTGACTGCCTCATACTGAGTCTCCTACTCGGCTCTGGGCAGACCTGGACCCAAGGAAGAAGAAACCCAGGGGTATCTAGAGGAACAGACCACAGGGCAGTTTCCTTTCTTGTGGGAAACCTGTGGAAGGCCCCAAACGGCCCGGAAGCTGCTTAATAAGCACAATTTGGTTGTCTTTGGTTTACTTGTGCTTCTGGCTAAGGAGCAGGTAGCGAAGGAGCAAACAGCAAGCTGACAGCAGGGATATTCAGAGCACAGAGGCATCCTAGGGAGTACGCACTCACCAGAGAGGCGGGTCCATAGAGGCAAGCCTGGAGGACAGGAAGGTCCCCGAACAGGGAGGGATGTGGGATATTTAAAGGACCTCTAAGAAGTTTAGGCAAGTGGGATCAAGTTTCCAACACATATGCTATCTTCTCCTCAAAACCATTTAGTAAGTTGGGTTCAGTGACTCTTTTTGGTAGATGAGAACAACGAGGCACAGAAACAAGGGAACTTATGAGCAGTCCCACAGGTTGTAAGAGCAGGAATTGGGATTCCAAATGCAAGCACCTGCCTTGGTGCTTTTGACTGGCGACCTCTCTTCGGCTTTTAAAAATGTGGAAACTGTTTATGGAAAAGCCAGAATCACCCAGATGCTTCTAGGACTCTGTTGGGAACAGAGGGCTGGGAGCTTCTGCAGGCCACTCAGGCAGCCCAGATAGTTCCCAAGAAAAACCTTAGCATCTTTACTTAATGCCTATTCCAGTGTCAGAAAAACAGGAAATTAATTCCCTTTAAAAGAAAGCAGGGTTTTCATCAATTTCTTCTATAGGGCAGAGTTGTTTGTATGTTTATGAAACACTCCTAGCATGGCTGTGTCATGCCCAGCTTCTATGTGCTGGGCCCTGGGCTTGCTTCTGGTAGTTCAGGGACCTGGAGAAGCTCCTGGAAGTGATGGGCAAGGAGAAGAGTTTCAACGTTGTGTGCTAAGTGCTGTTAAAACAGAGGAATGATATGGAGTGGAGCACAGAGGGAGGGGTGATCTGCTGACACTGGGTAGAGCAGAAGACCAGAAAGTCTCCCTGGGCCCCCAGGGCCTGAAGCTAAGATGGGATGTTAGGGGAGGATGTGGCTCCCTCAGGAGGCTGCAGAGTGCAGGAGAGCAGGATGGGCAGGGAGGGCCGGTCAGGACGGAGGTAGACCAGAGGTACGGGCTGAGGCCAGCATCAGAGTACTGTGTATGGCAGGCTAAGGAGCTTGGATTTTTTTTTTTTTTTTAAACCTACTAAGCATGGAGATGGTGTGGTCAGACTGTTAATAAATTCAGAAAAACCAAGGCGGCAAATGGAGCATGTTTCCTCATATATCTAAACCTGTTAAGGGCAAGTGAGGCAATTTAAGCCGGCACAAATTGAATTGTGGGGAGCTGTGTGATGGGAGCTGAACCAAATGGAAATATGGAAAACAGACCCGTGTCTAGGTGACAAGGAGGTTTGACAAATGCAGAGACCTCAAGGAGAAACATGGCTTTTTCTCCAAACAGCATTGTGGTACATTCTCTACTACATTGTAGACTCAAGTTTTTGAGAAGGCCATGCATTCAGATATGCTTTTTGCAAAATCTAACCACGGCAAGCAGTAGTTAGGTGGGGTATGGCAGTTGCAAGATAGTGGGTAAGGAATGGACGTCTACAGGAAGAAATTTCACCAGGTAAAAGGGGAGTGAGGACAGGGGAGGGTAGGAACCCAGAAAGACTTTCAACTCGAGAGGACAGCAGCTCAGGTTTGGAAGGGACAACAGAGCTCGTCTTCACCCTCTACCCACTCCACATTTGAATCCCCTGTAGTCTTTCTGACCAGTCATCTTCTAGCCTCTGCTCACACAGCTCCAGTGATGGGGAGCTCACTCCCTTATATGCCAGCATTTCTACCCTTAACAGCTCTGACCACCATTCAGGAAGGTCATTCTCCCTCTAGGCGGAAGGTAGCCTTCTTGTAGGACCCCTCACTGGTCTCAGTTCCATGAACCAGCCAACACAGAACAGCGTCCTCCCTCTTCCATCCAGTGGCCCTTGGTGCTCCCATCTCCAAGTTTATGGTTTCTTTTCTCTAGGCCAAGCATTTCTAGGTCCTTCTGCGGCCTCCCTGGGAATGCGGATTCAAACTGCCCTATCGATCTGACCTTGAAACACGCAGGGGTGCCTTTCATATCTCTCACGGGGTGGGGCCTAGGACCAAAACCAATGTCCCAGATAGCATCATTCAGCCTCACAACCGTCCTATTAGGGTCAGAGCTGGAATTTCTAAGGGTCTGTCTTCACAGCCTGTGCTTTTTCTATCCATTATTAAGCTGAAATCAACAGTGACTAAATACCCTAGTTCGTTTCACAAGGACCATGGCCAAGTCACACTCCCCCTGAGCAAAAGTTTCCCGGTGCTCCCAAGTTGTGGACAGAAGCTACCTTCTGAGTGCCAACCAGAGGTCATATACACAGGCCTGGCCTAGCAGTGGCATGAGGCAGTGTCACAGAGCTTGCGACTTCCCGTTTACAGAGGTCCCTCCAGCTGCTGGGGTCTAGAGGTAGCGGAGAGTTCTTTGCACTATACATGGCTTTTTTTTATAGTGGTCTGTCCACTGGCTGGACCCACATACACCACAAAGGCCCTGGCCACCTCTCCGGCTGTCCCTCTGAGACTTGTCAACCCTTTTCAAATTGGATGGCTGACCCTCGTCCCAGGATCAAGACACTGCCCCCATCTTCCCAGGTATAATGAAGTCTTTGGTGGGAGACTTTTGGCATCACACACCTGAGACCTTGAGGCCTTCAGACATAGTGGTTTGCACAATTCAACTCACTGCCGCTCATAGGGCCAGACCCAGGTCCAGACTGGCCCCCCTTCCTCAGCCCACCGTTTCTGCCTTATGCCTCCTTCTCTCCAACTCACTGAGGAGTCCTTGGCATGGAGACCCCGGCAGAGCTCTACCTGTTGTGACACTTATATCCAGAAGAGGGGTTCCTTTCCTTAGCTGGTAGACACAGTTCCTTAAGAAGGCAGGTTATGCGAACCTGGCAGAAGAGAGAAGGTGTACTTACACTTACAGGTTGACTTTTTGGCACATCATAAACACCTTCCTTCTTTTGGCTGGTGGGAACCTGTGGAAAAATCAAATTCGACACCATTAAAACACTTTGCTATTCCACTTTCGAAGAACAAAGCAACCCCACTTCAACTCCAAGCTGGCTGGGTGTGGAAGGGAACGGCCCCTGAAGCCTGAGGGTCCCAAATCAAAGGGGCTGCTGGGATTGTAGGGACAGCAGGCCAGGCTCCTTCCCTGGGGACAGCTGGGTGAGGGAGGAGCATGTGGACCACTTCATAAATATTTGCAGAGGCTCACTGCCACTGGGCTCCTCCCAGAATCACAGAACAGGGGGCTGCGGAGACCCCAGGGCTCACGGGGTGGCAGAAATAATCCTCATTTTACCAAGGACAGAAATGGGACCCAGGGAGGCGCTCTGACTCGTGCAAAGCGATTAAAATGAGTGTGCGGCTGAGCTTAAGTTGCTTGGTGCAAAGACTGAGAGCCAGGTTATTTAAAATATGGCAAATATCAAGGTCTCAGTATCAAGAATGGCTTCTGCTGGGATTGTAGATAAGCCATGTGATAGTCACAAACGTTTTTTCCGAGAAAAGGGGCCATCAGTGGTATGAAACGCGTAAGACGAGAATCCGGAAAATTTCAGTTGCTTTTGAAAATCTATCTACATCTTCTTCCCTCCCTCTCTCCTCTGACTCGTCCGTCTGGTCTCACTACTGGGCCACTTGGTAACTGCACCGTCCTGAGCAGGCTACTTAGCTTCTCTGGGCTTCATGGTTATAAGATGGGTGCTCTTGGCTCTCCTCTCGGGTGGGTTATTGTGGGGATCAAAGGAGAAAGGAGAAGGTAAATATAAACTATTGGGAGCTATAATCCTGTGAAGTGTTAGGATGGTAGCTTCTTTCACTCCTGATACCTCATGTAAGTATAAGAATGTACTCTGTAATACCAACAACCATAGATACGTTGAATGCTTTTCTAATGAGTCAATCAAGGGCTTTACACCGAAACCTTCCGGCTTGCAAGCAATCACTCATACTTCCCAACACAGCACAGCTCAAACTTCCAATGGCCTGTAGCCTCAGCCTATAGTAACTTTACAAATGTGTCCCTTTTCATCAGATCGGGAGCTCCTTAAGAGCCAGCATGGTGCCTACAGCTCAGTAGGCATTGGGTAAATGTCTTCAGGGTAAATGTATCATCAGAAACGTGGGCAACAGTGAGGAAACAGAAAAAGTATCTCTTAGGCTTGGACCAGCCAACTCTACCACTGAGGAGAAGAAGGAGGAATTTCGGCTCCTTCCTCGAGTCCCCCTTTCTATCTGAACTCTCATCAGCTCAACTTAAAACCCTTATAATAATCCTAAGAACTTGGTATCAGAATCTTCACTTTACATAGTAGAAAGAGAGGCTCAGAGAGGTTAGGGAAACCCTTCCAAAGCCTGCAAGCTAGTTAAGTGATGAGATTCAAACCTAGCTCTTTCTGGCCGCCAGATGAGACATTTATGACTAACGGCATGAATTCACATGGACAGGGTGGCTTCTGTGTGCCAGGCACTGTTCTGAATGTTTGTGTTTACACGTATTCTCATGTAATTCTTGGGACCAGTCAGTTGGGTAAGGATGACAACTGCCCCCATGGTGCAGAGGAGGAAAAGGAAGCCCAGAGGGGCTCCTGCAGGTGGGCTGCCAGAGTCGGAATCCTGGCGCTCTGCTTTTTAACTACTCCACTGTACAGACAGCTGCATCTCACCCCCCGTCCACGCCCGTACCCCATCCCTGTAGCTGTTCTGATGGCATCTTTTCCTTGGACATCACTACCATACTCTCAGAAGGCTGTGCGCATTCTTGCAGAAAAGAGGACAACAAGGGAGCATGGAGATGCACTTTCTGAGCTGCTCTTGCAAACCTCAGCTGGTCGTCAATGAAGAATATAGTTTCTTTGCTCCTGATAACGGGCCTCCATCTGAAAAGAATCCTCTAAGAATGCCTACCGAGTCCTTGCTAACAAGGGCCAGTAAATTACCAGCCCGCACTTGTATTTTTACTAGCTCACCCTTTCCTGAGCCAAATGAACTGCATTTCTGTGCCCCGTAATTCACGGCTCACTATGAGCACTTAGCAAGCTGAACCACGGCTGACTCTCAATTATCCCTGCAAATGGAGAAGCGGCAGGACGGATAAACCCAAACTGTGCATAATTGAAAAAGCTTGGCTGCTCGGCTCTCCCATGGGTGAGATATCAATCTGCCTGTTTGTCCTTTAAGATTTATATCTGCTGGGATGTCTTCTTGGGAGCCTCGCCTGGCTCTATACCTGGTGGGAGCCTTCCTCTGTACCCTTTGTAACCTCTGGTACGATCTTCCACTAAAAAAAATCAAAGCGGCCAAGAGCCAATTATGCGTCATGCTCTGTGCACTGCCCGGGACAGTGATGGAGAACAAGCTGGGGTATGGCCCCCGAAAGAATGGAGCTTGTCTTATTCGGGGGAGGTGGAAAAGAAATCGGGCTGCTCCCGTGAGCATAAAATGTGCTGTATCTTATACGGGAGCTGTCAAACCACACTGCAGTTCTAAGCTGGGGCCGGGCGGAATAGTTCACTACCTGTTTCCCCATCGGTAAATACCGGTTATGCAATGTTTAAGCACCAAACATTTACCAGGCGTGTGCTAAGGGCAGAACACCGGCAGCAGTGCCTGAGGGGTGAAGGCCAGAGGGAGCCTGGTCCCTGTTCTCCTCGCTGCCTGCCTGGTCGCATCTGCCTGTAGACCATTTCCTAACATGACACTGCAGAACGAGCGAGAACAGTTCTGAACCAAACGGAAGCGGGAGAGCTGGTTCCCGATTCCGGCTCTGCCACAGGCTGTGTGATCTGAGAGGGTCCCTTTGTTCTCTGAACCTTAGTCTTCTCATCTAGCTGTCGGAGGCATGCAAGGGGGTGCCTAGAAAGTCCCGGAGGGTCGGGACCATGCCGCGGTCCATTCCATCTCTACGTGCCTGGCACACACTAGGTGCTCCATACAGAACTGCGATTTGAATGAAGGAGTTAACAGATGTGGAATTACTGTGGAAGTTATACGGGAACCACCATAAGCACAGAAGACGCTTTCGGCTAAGTAACATCCTAATAGTGTTAGAGAGGCAGTTTAAGGGTTGAGTGATGTAAGAGCAGAGGCTCATCATCTTAAAACAACAGTACTTGATACATCACGGGCGATTAAAAATGATTTTTCAAACCAAAGAACATGAAAAGTGCCCGCGTGGAAGGCCGCCGTCTTGCTGGCGCAGGAAGTCGTTAACTCGCTCCGGAATGCCGGGTTTAGAAGCGGAGGCTCTGGCCTCAGGCCCGGCCCTTGAATCGGAGGACTTGATTTTCTTATGGTTTAAAACGATAGTCATCGTAGCTATTCTTATCCTCCTGAGTTATTGCGAGGGTCAACGTTAAGTGAGGCATAAAAATCCTTGTGCCTCGAGGTTCTGTGTTGTTTGTAAAAAGATGACGGATAACTTTTTCTGACGCATGCAAAAAAGGAAGACCATTATCATTAATCCGGTTTGGGAAATGAGACTACTGATCCTCAAAGAGAGGTTACATTTACTCAAGAGTCTCTCCCTCCCTCACGCAGGAGTTGTTAAGTAGCAATCAGGCGAGGTGGCAACTTTCCACTAGGCTCTCCGACAGGAGGCGGCAGGCGAGTCAGGTTCTACTGCACTTAATGCATCATCGTGAGACATCTTGAAGAGCATCGGATACTGATGACATTCTTAGGAAGCAAAGGGAACAAACATTTACACAGAACCTATTATACACTCAGTGCTTTATACCTTCAGGTCACTTCTAGAAGCAGATGACATAGCATCCCTCATTTTACAGCCCAGGAGACCAAGATACAGAAATGATGGACTTTATCCAAGGCCACAAAACAGCTCAAGGAGTAGGCCCCAGGTGCCTCGTCCGCCCCAGTGATAAGGTCTGCCTCCTTCCGGAAAACGGAATGGATGAAAATCTGAGACCCCCCCTGGGCCAAGCAGAAGAAGAAGAAAACAGGGGCATCTACTCAGGAGGAAGAGCTATGGGATACTCCTAGGTTCTTAGAACACAAAGAGGAGCCAGGCTCCTAATCACAGCTCCTTAAAAGCCCAGCCTTATCTTCAGGTCCACGAGCTTATCTCTCCTTAAGCAAATTGGGGCTCAGCTGACTGGCAAAGCAAGCGAGGAGAACAGAGGGTGATAAAATATTCATTTCCTTAAATGGTACCTTCCTGCTCATGATGGACAGACGGGGAGATCCGGAGGTCAGGACTGTTAACACACAAGTGTGATTTTTAGATAGTGACTTGAAACCTACACAGAATCCACTCATGGATATTCTGAGCAGAAAAGAACCTCAGGATTTATCTATTTACCAAGGTCAGAGGGACCTAGCTGTGCCTTGAGGGTGCCACCTCTCTTAGCTCTGTGACCTCGCGCAAGGCACCTTATCTGTGTGAGCCCCACTCTTCTGGCTGTAAGGTGGGAATGATGGTTCAAGCCAGTTGTGAGATTAGATATTGCATGTAAACCCCATTCACAGAGCCGGCCCGAAGTCAACAATCAAAAAATGCTAAATAGCTATACATCACACGTGCGTGCATGCGCACACAGGCATACACACGCTCACACACACACCACCTCCAAGAATCTTGCTGCCCTGTAAAGCAAGCCAACGTGTATCTCTCAAGAATCACTGTCCTGTGATGAGGCACGAGTTGCAAAAAGCAGCAAAGGGCCTAAGAGACCCTTTGGTCTTATCTGCTCATTTTACAGATGAGTACACTGAGGCTCAGAGAAGGAAAGAGACTTGACAAGCTGGATGAATGGCTGGGTTGGTACCTGGACTAAGACCCTGAATCCACACACCGTGTGACCCAGGACAGAGTCTCTTCTGTACATCCTTCTCACGGTTTTGCTTCCTTCTCATGTCAAGAATGGGTTATGGAGAAATTACTCCCCTACTTTATCACTGGGGAAAGGGAGTCTCAGAGAGGGCAAGAGTCTTGCCCACCATCACTCAGCCAAAGGTAGCTGGTGAGCAGCCAGAACTAGAGCCCAGCTCTCTGCCAGCCTAAACCAGTCCTTCCTGCATACAGGATGTCCCACACCCCGAACAGTCCCCCCCACAGGGCACAGCGGGAGCCCCGCCAACTACTGCTCAGTCGGAATTCAGAAACCCTGCACTGAAGAGCCTAATTTTGTCTTAAAAGGTATTTTTTCTTCAGAGGATGACTGGTTAATGGCTCCTTTGGCCCCACATTCAGACACCACGAGATTGTAGTAATTTAAAATCTGACACCGAGAACAAATATGCAAGTCCTCTGTGTAAAGATCGGAAACTTCGTGAGCGATGATTTTAAACAGAGCCACAACCTCCCACTTGCATCCAATCCAGACAGACCCAGTGGAGAGAAGTACTTCGATTATTATTCCACAGGACTGGCTTAAACTGAGCTGTCGGCAGAGCTGATATGATACTTTGGTCGTTTAGAATTCTGTGCATTAGACAGAAACTGAAAATCTGTCTCACTTTTATTACACAAGTAATACATGCCCAAGGCAGAAAAGCAGACCGCACAACTGAGTAAATTAAGAAAATTAAAATCACTTATTAAATACATTAAATTTTTTCCTTCCTCCATAATGTTTATATTTCAAATTAAGGCTAAAATTCTAATTAGTGAAAAATTGGATGCTGTCATATTTGTTTGATGTGTTGCTATAGTGCAATTTCTCAAACTCTTTGATGGAAAGGTATGGGGGAGGACGTGTGAGTTTTGCCTTCACTCACACTGGGTCTGATCTCAGCTCTACATAGCTAGGCAGCCCCCGGGAAGCTATTCAACATCTCTGAGTCTCAGTTTCCCCTTGTAAAAGTGGGATTAAATACCTACTTTATATAGCATGTTTGTCAGAACCAAATGAATCACAAAGTGTGTGCAGTGCTCTTCCCACGAGCAGACATTTAAGAATATTAATTTACCTTCCCTTTAGGAGGGGTAAAACCTTGAGCTGTACTTTTCTTTTATTTGGTTAATATTCCCAGTGCTGTTTAGCAACAGCGTTTTTGAATTTGTCCTTGATTTTCAGGAGTGCAGTTGGATTTTTAAAGAAATTTGATGTGCACCTTTTTTGGAGAAATGAAGGACCCTCCTTTATCAGGGACAGCAACCCTCCAATGGATTACTTTATTCCAGTGGAAATGTTTGATTCTGGAGTCTATTGAAAATAGTGAAGACCCATTCGCAATCAGAACCCTGCACTCAATGGGCTGTTGAACATTTCCACAGCAAGGTGTAGAAAGTACTGGTCAATCTGTAAAAGCCAACTCAGAGGAAGGTATTTGGCCAAGCCTGGATGACTGAGGACACGGAGTGACCCTATGAGGGCAGCGCCCCAGGTTCTGCGGACCCCTCCGTGCAACAGCCAGAGGCAGTGGTGCAATGGAAGGAGAGAGAAGTGATTTTATACCTGATAAATGTTTTCTTCCGTTTCAGGATCACGGATTGGCTCATGTCCAGCCTCAAACACAATGTACTATTATGGATCGGCCAGAGAGGAAAGGTCAGAGAGGAAGAAGAGAGAGGGAAAAAAAAAAAAGGCATTTGGAATTCAGGATACAAATCACAGTGAGCATTAAAGAAACAGTCGCAACAGAACACACCTTCCAGGGGCAAGCAGATCACTGAAAACGAGGCACGTGCTTTGCACGCTCCTGCCTTTGCTAAGGAAGACAGCAAGGGTCTGAAGGCCAGTCAAGCAGCAGCGAATGTGTGGGACCCCTGCGTATCTTTCTGGAGATGTGGCCTCTTTATTCAGTGACATTGGATCTCAGTAATGTCTGCGTGTTCCGCACTGCTGAGTGCAAATGACATCTCCTAGGAACATCTAGGGGCCCAGCTTCATAATCTGGGTTACAGTGATTGCCTCCCTTTGCTTCCCTCAAGACCAATGTCCTAACTCGGCCCTTAAGTGCTTAGAAACCCCAAATCTCCCCATCCCATAAATATCACCTGATTTTACATCCTTAGTTTTAAGTATTGAAAATCAGTGTTGTTGTTTTTTTTCCCCTGTGCGTGTTTCAGACTCTAAAGGACCAGGCTGTTTCAAACAGGGCAATATTCTTCATTCTCTGTGCTGTCTGTTAGCAGGGGCCGAGCTCATATTCTAGACAAATCCTTGCCCTCAGCGTTCTAGCATGAGGCCATGCTGTTAAGCACATCTTTGGCTTTTGTTAAAAGCCACTTAGGCTAGATACTCCTACTTCAAACACACATATAACCCAGGTATGTCCAGTTAGAAATACAAGTTCAGGGTTTTACATCCAACAAGTCCATTTATTGGCTCCTTTCTCTCCTTGGGAATAAGCATGAGGCGGGGAGGGGGCTCCTGGGGTTGGCGGTGGGAGGCCTCCTCTTCCCTTCTTTCTGCATCTGTTTGTACAGAGCACATACTTGGATCCTAGACAAGTCATCTCTCCAGCCCCACTGGGTGGCAACCTTGCAGAGTTCAGAGAAAACTGTGGGCTGGGCTGTCTCTATGATCACCCTTACCCTCCTCCCAACAGCCCCCATGGCACGAGCTGGCTCATCAGAGGGGCCAGAGACTTGCCCCCACAGCCTTCCCAAAACATACAAACTGCCCTTTGCGCTTGTACTCCAAGTCGCCAAAACTCAGTCCCTAGCCCCAGTTCCTAAGTCAGAGAAGCCTCCTCATGGCCTTGGAATATTCAGGAGACTGCCGAAAACATCCAGCTCTGGGATCAAATATTTATAGATTGTGGAGGGGGTCAATGCAGGGTTAAGAAGGGAGAAGCACAACTCCAGATCCCATGTAACTGAGGCCAACCAAACTTCTGTTCATTTTCTATAGAAATCCACCCCCCGAGGGGCTGGCAGCCCTCAGCCTTGAAACTAGTCTTGGTCCCTCTCCAGGCTCTGTGGTCAGGGTGCTCTTTAGGGCTCTGACCAACTGTCTGTAACACGGGCCTTGCCACTCCTGATCCTAAAAACACCGATGGTTTTCAGAAATTACCTGGTACACAGGATCTTCAACATCCTCTTCCAAAATTGTCTACAGCAGAGCGAGACAAGAGAGGTTGAAAAGCAGAGGATATAAACAAAGGGAGAGATATGAGATTGAATTCAGAAATTACAGGACAGCCGAGAAACCAGCTCTGGGGAGGAGAGGCTGCTGGGTCATTTCAGGTAGAAAACAACCCACAGAGGAGAAATGAAAACCCTTGCAGCCACCCTACTCCCACCCTTAACAACAGCAAAAAAAAAAAAAAAGGCAATTGTGTCTCTTCTCTTCACTCCACCACCACCCCCCACCCGCCCCGAAATCTTCCTCGGAATTCAAAATTTCACTCTCCCGTGCATGTCCAGAATTTCAGAGAATAAAAGATCATCTCTAATGGTTTGCTTTCGGTGCCTGTAATTGACACGGGAACCTTTCATCTTTGTTTATTTCTCCTTGTCAGCAGGAGGACAAGCCCTGATTGTCAGTTTTCACATCTGTTTATTTTAAGGCCCAGTCTTCTCTGGCACTCCGATAAATTCGCAGGTATACCTGATACACAGCTTGTTCGCACTGCTTATCCTTTTGTGCCTTTTTTTCCAACTCTTCTCTTTGCTTCAATTCATAAATAAGTTGAAAGAGATCTCTCAAGTCCAGAATAACAGGTTCAGCCTGGAGTAAAAGGGGGGGATGAAGCGCATGAGTACGGGAACAGTTCTGAGCCTGAGCGGCCTGTTTTGTTGGTTTTTTGTTTTTTTTTTTTTTTTTGCCTGCTACAACCCACAGCCCTTCCTATTCCTATTAAACTGAAAGCATTCCATCTTTAATTAATTCTACCTTGTTTATATTGGTTTAGCAAATTGCATCTAGGCTAAAGTTCATTTCTTCAACTAATTATATTTGCAAATTCATAATAATCATAAGCATAAAAGGCATTGCTTTTATTTATTAGTAATTTCGAATACAATAAAATTAGGGTAGGCCTTATGCAAAACAGCTATTTGTTTTCTCTTACTTTCTTTTTAAACGAGGCTATGAACACAAGGAAACTTATTTGTATAGTCGTGCCTCCATCCAGCTTCGTCAGAAAGGGAAATAATTAGTCATTACGAAATACACATTAGGAAAACAACAAGAAGACCGGATGGGGCCTGAGCTCGCCGTTTCCTTGCTCTGAGGCTACTTATGCTCTGGAGATGGGAGCCTGAGCATCAGCATGGCCTCGTCCTCCATCAGAGGTGGCCTTCAAAGACCCACAGCATGACCGGACATGCCGTCCCCTACAGCTACGAGGAGAGGCGTCCTCCTCGGATGGGGATACTCACCGCCTGGGCTGTTTTTATGGCAACAAATCTGTGATTCCCTTCCTTCCCGCAAACGTATCCAAAGGCCCGGTGATCTGTGATGTCCTTTGCGATGTAGGAAATTTCGTGAACAGCATGATGATGCTGAAGGGCCTGTCGGAGACAAAAGGAAGAGCATATTTCACGGGACTTTCCCTCCGAGCTGTTGATCAATAAGAGATGTGTTTCTGCTACGTGTGAACAAGCCCGAAGGGCTTTGGGAAAGCTGTTGGGTCCAGATGGAAGGAAAAAGAGCCGCGCCTGCCCTTGAGAGATGGAGGTTTCCCTCCATGGTCTCAGCGCCGTGACCGGAGAGATAAACAGGACTGCTCATACGCTGAAGGCGCGTCTGTAGCAGTGGCTCCCTCCCGGCTTGCCGGGGCCGGTCGCCGCAATTTGGCAGGGCAGGTCCCCGCTGCAGCTGGCTTCCGGACACAGCCCAGTTGGAGCTCGGGCGGGATATTTATAAACTCCCCACCAGGACCTCTGCATGCGGTGCAGGAGGAGTGCCCTGTGCAGAGACTGCAGTGGGGGTGGGGGGTGCGTTCAAAGCCACAGGACCGCCAATGCATACGGGTGCAACCCTTAGTTGAGAGATGGTGACAGAGTATCTTGAGGAACGAACACCTTTTTCTGTCTGATACAGAGTCACCATCTGGGCTACAGGTGGACCTCCTTCGTTCTGAGACTTCTCAGGGGCTGGCTGCTCTGTGGGCAATGCCCATTCTTCTATCCATTTGCTTGAATCCTGGTCCTTTCTGAAAGGGTATTTGAGGGGCACCCGGGTGGCTCAGTGGTTTGAGCGGGTATCTTTGGCTCAGGTGGTGATCCTCTGCTTCTCCTTCTCCCTCTGCTCACCTCTTTCTCTCTCTCCGTGTCTCTCAAATAAATAAATAAAAATCTTAAAAAAAAGACATCTGAATAGCACCACCTTTGCAAAATCCCCCCAGAACAAGGCCTGCTCTCCCTCTCCCTGCAGAAATAATATATAATTCCATAAAACTTCAGTCTTGAGGCACTTGGGTGGCTCAGTCATTAAGCATCTGCCTTAGGCTCAGGTCATGATCTCAGGGTCCTGGGATTGAGCCCCATGTTGGGACTTGGTGGGGGGGGCTCCCTGCTCAGCAAGAGACCTGCTCTTCCCACTTCCCTGCTTGCGTTCCCTCTCTCGCTGTGTTTCTGTCAAACAAATAAATAAAATCTTAAAAAAAAAAAACAAAAAAAACTTCAGTCTCTACTGATGCCCAAATTCCTAACCGATTCCTCACACACAGGCCCCCATAATCTTGCTCTGAAAAACCTTCCTTCTCTGATAGATTTGCCTGATTCCTTATCTGTCTTCCCCACCAGACTCCATCTTCCTCAACTCTGTCATCCTCGAAACTTGTGCTGTGTTTGACGCATAGCTGCTGACTCAAGAGTAAATTGGGGTAGTTGACCAGTAATTCGGAAACCTTCTGAAACCGACCTTCCCGCCTTTATTGCCGAAGCCTCCACAAATAATGCTGGCCATCCTTGGCGATGATCATCTTTGTGACCATCGTCCTGCATTAAACCTACTTAAAGCAATCCTCAGTAAACAGTACCCTGTATATAGGCTTACATAGGCAGCTGGGCATTTTATGATGTGCTTCAAGTCCTTATATAAGGGGTCTTTTTTAAAATTATTATTATATTAGGTATTTCGAGGCTTGAATTCTAGCCACTGTGTGAACAGAAGGCACTCACTGTACCTCTCCGGACCTTTGTCAATTCTTCTATCCAATGAGAAGTTTGTACCAGATCAGTGGCTCCTAACCCAAAGCCCAGCATCTCCTTGGGTCATTAAAGGTAATAAAAAGAAGTCCTAAGCACTTTTCAGCATTTCAAAAAGTGAAACAGAAATGTGTAACTATCCTTAACTAAGACAACACATTCCGTTGTGCATGCAAATAAAAATGCCAAGTTCATTTTAGAATTGCATCAGGTTACTGTTGGACTCCTTAGTTCATCTTTGAGAGGATTCTCTTTAGTGTTTTAGTTATGGTTTGAATAATTCAAATAGGAAACCGAATGACTATAAATACATTTTTTTTTGGTGGACAAAATTCTTCGCTGCCACTGAGTCCATGGAGGGAGGGAAACATGTACCACAAAGGGGACTTAGTTACAAAAGTAGTGGGAATCACTGGAATAGATGTTCCAGAAGGTTCACCCCAGATCCTTTAGCCATTAGGACCTTGAACCACATGGCTAGCCTCTCAGGTCAGTGGGCATGTGGTGGCTAGCACCTTAGCTCTGGACACTGGCCCTGACCTTCCGAAATGCTGACTGCTACCATCTCCCTAGGTCTCTAGACTGGTGCCATCTTTCTAGGATTCTGCTAGAATCCCAAGTGCCCCATCTTTCTAGGATTCTAAACTCACTAATCATTTCTGCCATGGAATTTGCTGCTGCACCCTAAGCTTCTAGGTTCTGATCACTCACTAACCTCTCTGACTACTCTTGGGACACTCTCTTTAGGTTCTTGCCTTGTCACGTTGCCCACTGCCCAATGGACATCATGTTTGGAGGGCGGTATCCCTGTCTGGCCACCTTCGCCCCTAATCGGCCATAAGACAATTGTATAACTCTCATGAATCCTGACCCAGATAAAGTTGGTGAGGAAGGAAATGTTTGTTAGTAACAGACTCAGAATACATTTATTCTTCCTTTATTAAGAGGATGTACTTAGCTGGTGGAGGAAAGCTGTGTAAAGGGTGATGGCTTCTTCATGGTGTTAATGATGTAAAACTGATGAGACTAATATACATGCAACACGGGGTACTGATTTATAGGCTTCTATGAACTAGAATGGTATGCGGCAGGGGAAAGTGGGAGACATAGACATCCTTCCTCTCCCCCTCTCCAGAAAGTGTTCCTCTCTCTGTGTAACGTGGACAATGTTATCCGCATCTCCTATTAAAGCAAAGTTTGATGACAGAAGCTTATTGATTGCCAAGTAGAATATTGCTCTAAAATTAAACTGTGATTAGAAGTCTTCCTGGTGGAATGAGATTTGGAGATGATCGTGCAAGGATAAAATATCACCTACGATGCAAGACAGCAGATGGAGGGGCATTAATTTATCCGGGAATCCTCATTAAGTGTTTTAAAATAAAAACATTTTTAATGCCTGATGATACCTCATATTGCCTCGCCAAGTATAGCTCTGTGCATGCTTGAAGGGCCTAAAGAGATCTGTAACGTTATCTTTTCCCATAGTTAATTTTATGACATGTTAAAAAGGATGACTGTGAAAGTGGCTCATTTATTTGGAAACGAAGAATCATTGAGGGGATATGTCTCCACTTTCTCCAACCTCAACTATGCAGACATAGTACAGATACATCCGAATTCCGCTAACCCATAGGGTCGTATTACTGGCATTCGTCCTGGCAACCCGGAGAATCTTGCAAATACTTCTTCACTGAGGCTCAAAATTGCTCCATGTTTTTTTTTTTTTTTTTTTTTTTTAAAGATTTTATTTATTTATTTGTCAGAGAGAGAGAGAGCGAGAGTGAGCACAAGCAGATAGAGTGGCAGGCAGAGGCAGAGGGAGAAGCAGGCTCCCTGCTGAGCAAGGAGCGCGATGTGGGACTCGATCCCAGGATGCTGGGATCATGACCTGAGCCAAAGGCAGCGGCTTAACCCACTGAGCCACCCAGGCGTCCCTGCTCCATGTTTTCAAGCAGATTTTAGCACCATCAAAGCCAAAGGAATCCTGAACCTCATATTGTTCGAATGAGTTTATGGAAAGACCGAGGGTCAGAGAGTTCTGGCGGGACCAGTTTTAAATGCAGCCCCCGCTCCCTCTACAAAGGATGACAAGCCACTGAACAGAGAAAGCAAGATGATGTAGGATCAGGGTCTCCGTTCCTCAGCTTCTGGACTTCCCAGTCCAGCAACAAAGCCGTGATCCCTGAGAGGCTGGGACAAGGAAGGAGGACAGCTGGCCAGGAGGCAGAGCCGAAGTCGTTTTGGCTTCTGGCACGTATCGGAGGTCAGAGAGGGTCATAAATCAGAAGGTTTGGGTTGAAGGACACTTTGCTTTAAGGATCTCAAAGAAAAAGGTCAAGACAGCATGTTCTGGGAGCGAGCACTTGGGAGCTTGTGGCTGTCTGTGGTTTCTGCTGAGCCGTCAGGCTGGAAAGGCGTGGCGAGGCCCTTCGTCATGGGAAATGAAGACTGCCTCATCCCAGGAGGGTTTCTGCAGAGACCTCCTGGGGCAGCATGAGTTGTTCTGCAATGGGGAAAGAATACTGGACCAGAAGGGGAGGGGAGGCGAGAGGAAAGGCAGAGTCTGGTCATCCTTCCATGCTTCCTTTGGAAAAGAGGTTTGTGGTTTTTTGTTGTTGTTGTTGTTTATTTATTTATTTATTTATTTAGGTCTTAATAAAATGGTCTAGATACTAAAGTACTACGAAAAATCAAAGCAGGTATTTGGTTTTAGAAACAGTGTTTAATAACCCAGCATTTGTCTGCCACAGCTTTGTCCGTTTCTCCCATTGTGAACCCTCCTCATTATTCTGGGCATGAGAGTTGTTACTGAAGAATTCTGAGGCAGATGAGCACCTTCCTCCCACCACTGAACTTCCGGTGACCCAGACCATGGACAGTCTGAGGACTGCCCCTCTGGGTTCTGTACTTCCCCCCACCTCCGTGCCACTGTTCACAATGTTTTTCTCTGCCGATGGCCCTCTTCATCCCCTCACCTGTGCTTTTGTGATCCTTGTGACTAACTCATACAGAGGCTCGAAGCCTAGCTCTAATAGCGCCCTCGTCCGAGGAACCTTCCCTGACGCCCCCTTCCCCTCCATGATGATTCCTGTCCCTAGTTCTCGTGGCACTGTATTTGCTCCTCTATCCAGGATGCCTCCCATGTATTCATTTTGCTTCCTGTTTACCCCTTCATCTAGTTATTCAAACCGTGTGTCCTTACTGAGTAGCTGGTAGGTGCCCGGTCTCCTGCGTAATACTGTATCCACCCGGGGATTACAACACAGGCCCTGCCTGGAGGACCTTGCAATCAGAATAGGCAGGCAAAGAAACCAACAACCATGAGAGAGTAAGACGAGCTTATATTAAAGGCGTGC